TTCTCAAACTATAACGACTATTGTAAAAGTTCTATATAAAATTAACTGCTTACGATGACACACGTATTTATAAATTTTCCGTATAAGGGTGTAATTACAACCAGAAATGGAAATATTGTGATTTTTAGTACAAAATTTTTTTTTTCTACCAAGCAAAATTATATACATAATTTTATGTTTCGGCTGTGAACAATCCTTAAGAAATTTGATTTCATGTAAGTATATACAATAGTTTCCTAATATTTGATCGAAGCTTATTTGAACTTATTCCTGTGTTACCAGTTAAAAAATTGATGTTTGGAGTTCACGTTGTCTAGAAATTTATAATTGAGAATGCCGTAACTGACAAAAAATATAAAATTATAATTACCATTATCAAACTTTTATATTAAAGAAAATTATATTAATTAAAGAATATTTCTTTCAAAATTATAGATTAAACAACTACATTTTCTGTTTATTATATGAAATATTGGATATATTAAACAAAATTATGTTATTCGAAGATAGGTTTTAAGATTTATATATTTTGTAATTATGCCATATATTACACACACCGTAATAGTACGAGTATATATCGACATTTAGTAGACAACGACAGAACCAATATTGGACCAGTTTGTAATAGCTTCAATAGTATATTTATAATTTTTAACATCAGCTAATTCTCAACGGATCCTATTTTGGGTTATGATCCGTTATAGAATAGATTTATTCATAAGGAAGATCAGTGTTCCAGCTTCAATATCAATGCGGGCGTGTGAATACCTATGATAACGTCTGTAGAGGCCGTTACTAAGAAATTATAACAATATGTTTGACCTTATATAGTAGTTGCTAGAAATATCTTTGTTAATAATATAAATAAACAACATTATTACGAATTGCTTATTTTATTTGGAATGCTATTAAAAAAGTATAAATATTCTACCTAATCTCTGAACACGTGGATTTTGAACAAGAGATTGCATATAAAAAATGCTTATTCAGTTTTGTACGTTAAGTTTGGTGGTTCCCTTAAGGCGAAGTCCTTTTTTGCCGGTTCCCATGAACCCTGTGACAATGGCGTCGACCTTACTGAAAGACCAAGCAGATCCGCGCAAGAATAAATATTATATAACAATAGGGTAGCTTCTTTGACTTTACAACGGCGGTGTGACTCACCTTGATATTTTATCGTTATAAAATTTTAATGTTTTATCATATAATTAATGAATAAAATTTTGAAAAAGGGAAGACACTAAAACTGACTATGTGTATGATATCTTTAAACGATTATGTATTATTATCCTATAAATCTGAAACAGAAACATTGATTTCGGTTCATGTACCTATGCATGATATCTTGCTTAATATTAATGATATTTAGTAAATAATTTAAACTTAAGACTCATTTGGCAAAATTTTCTCCTTTTGGTTAAGTGTGAGCATAGTTTGTAATTACTAAAAGATTAAAACCACTTCAGCGCCATCTCTACCCTTTAGCACCTCTGAAAAGATGCGATCGACGAATTTGGCAAGCGCGTTTTTTTTCCATTTTTATATATTTTAAGCCTTACTCTCAACCAGTTTAGTGCAGGCCTTCTTCAATCTTTTACACTTTTCCAATGGAACAATAAGGTTGCACACTTTCCTCCATTTGTACTATATTTGTAGTACTTATATACTTTTATGAGTATATTAAGGAAAATTATTGAGCATTTTAGTCTGTAGGTAAGAAGTCTGAACTGACTTGTTATGAAGCAAATACTAAATAATATATTACCAAAATCTATAACAACATAATGCTATATATTTAAGAGTGAATCACAATATGTCATAGATATATCTACAATACTCCAATGAAACTTTTCTTTTCAAGTATCAAGATTGCTGGATTGACATATAAAGTTAAAGGACAACAAAAGCATAGCGGCCCGTAACGGTCCTTTTTTCGTTGCGTTGATCGGTAGTTCTTCCTTGTAGGTTTTGTCATGCTAAGACGTCTTTAGAATTCCCACGCATCATCTAACTTGATTTCTTATGGTTTATATCTAGCGAAGTATGCGCAACCACGTGCGTTTTTGATTAAAAAACTTTGATAATACCTGTGTATATTATGCTCAAATTTTTTTTAAAGCAAACGTTAGTAAATTTTTATGAAGTGTAAATAAAATTGAGTTTCTATAGGATGTATTTTATTGAAATAATATTAATTGTCAAAATTCAAAAAGATTTATTGTAAGTATTGTTCATACTTAGTTCAAAAACAATCCAATTTTTACCCATCCAAATATCGATAGTGAAAATTGTAATTTTTTTAAAGTAAACCCAGTTTTGTTTGTTGTACTCTTAATAATCAAAAAATATGACTAAATTATAACAAAAAAAAAATTATTGACTTTCGAGTTAGTATGCACGTTTTTTTGTTGTTGTTATAAACAGTTTTGAGATAAAAAGCTTCTGTTGCAGTAAAGATAAAAGCTTAACCTTTTTCTAAGTGGACACTTGTACTAATAATGAACACTAATCTACTTACGAGCTATAGTGTGTATAAGAAACGGCTTTTTTAGCTGTGACTAATTTAAAAGCTTGTTTTTACTTGAAAAGTGCTACCGTAGAAATAGTGAATAAAAAAGATTGGACCTGCAGGGTATTTTTGCGCAATCTCCGTGGTCATAAAGGCAAATATTGAGAATTTTTAATGATTTTAATTGATCCTTGAAAATGGAAAAAATAATGATAATATATAAACATATATTCTCTATATCTTCATTCATTTTCAAGAATATTTTACCTTTTTATGATGGTATTAGCATGTTATACCACGTGTATCGAAAAGTTTAATCATTTGAAACAGCGCCTGACGAATGGAGCGGAAAATATTTAAATGGAAGCTAAAATAGGGGTTCGGTACCGTAAAATATGGCGATATTTTGATGAAAAAAATTCAAACTAGAGAAGAAATTAAAATTCTTAACCCGGAAATGTGGTTGCGTGCGGAACGAAGCAAGAAGCCAAAAGAATGATGTTGTTTACCGACATTAACATTCTTAAATCTCATGGATACATTTTACCATCAGGCGTTACTTGTAAAAATGAATATAGAATAAAATATATAAAAATTGTATATAGGTATCATATTAAAAACAAATATAAACATTTTAGATAATAATCTAATGGTATATTAAACAATAAATTGAAATTATATACTATAATCGCATCTTATTATTAGCTGCTGTATTACTGGTGTAATACACAAATTAGTTTCTAACTTTGTTTATACATATAATAGGAGGTAATCTTTGGAAATACTGATTCGATTATAAAATTTATTCCATCTACGCGAAGTTACATCATACGTTGGCAAGGAGAGTAGACATACGTGGCTGAGAATATAACTTACGAGAGCAAAATCGCAGGAAGACAGCTAGTTACATATATGAAAAATAAATAAATAAATAATTAAAATTAAACTTTCAGTTTTAACTATGATACTTTTAATTATGATATTTTTATTTTAAAATATACCATTTAAAAAACCTTTTTAAATAAATTTTAATCTAAGTTAGTTTACCTGATCTTTTATAACCAGTCAAAAATTTCGTTAAGAAAAAGGTTTAGGTTCTCATGCATCAATTAACTAAAAAAAACTCGATCCCGAAATTGTAATCATCTATTTAGGACTCCCTTTGAAACTTTTTTGGCGCGTAACGGCAGCACATTACAATCACAATGCGATATCGCCTTACCGTTAACGGCTATAGCGGGTTCCACTAAAATATAAAATACTCCGGTTAGCTAACTAAAGTTAACGGAGATTACTAACTTTCTGTCGAGTGTAGTTTATTGGATATTGTTATTAAAGCAACTATATTTTTGTTTATGTATTCTATAATTTTTTTAAATCTAATATAAGTAACACGTCTGCAATCTCTAAATAAGAAATCGAATAATAATAAATTCTCTTATCGCTTCAATGTTACCTGAGATATTAATTGATAATATAGATGTTGATTGTAAAAAATCTTTTATTATAATAGGTACCTAGTATTGAAATATCGACGTACATACTTACATTCATCGTATTTTGTAATTAGTAAAATAACTTGTGTGACCTTTTTCATTCTATTTTTACATTTTAATAATTAAAAATGTTAACTAATAGTTATCTGCTAGTCATGTGAAAGTGTACACAGCTCGGCGGCAAAAGTTCAAGCGATTTAAGTAGGTCATTCACATTTTAATAATTCTGGTCGCATTAACATAAGGGTCTTTGTCTCAATGGGGTTAGAATTAGGGGAATGTGTTTTTAATGGGCTGATTGTAATCATTAGCAGTTTAAGGTATTGAAGATTTTTCGGTAAGTATTACCTGAATGATATTATTATATTTGTCTTTGTATCCGTTGAAATAAGGTTATATATTTTTTCAATATTTGTATTTTATATATTAAAAAACCTCATTATTTTATTACTATGAAATTCTTTATTAGCAGACAAATTTACACAGTTTAAATACTTATAAACTAAAATCACATCATTATTGTTAAACTAGAAGGCACTATTGTAGTTATGACTAATTTGTATTAATTAGGTGCCCCTTTGTAAATCATTATATACATACATGATTGCAATATCTTCTGTTTACATTATTCTATTTTTTCTATATGAGCTGAATAAATACAATTCATTATGATGTTGTACAGGAGGAAAAAAACAATCATCAACAAATTTAATACAGAAAAGTTGATTTAGACATCTGACACAAAATTGTATGTTTTCTAAATAAATTTTTGCCACAACTAGTTAGTTAAAGTAATAGGTCTGAACTTTATATGGCTAATAAATGTGAACGAGCTGCATTATTCTACTGACCGTTACAGCGCACCTTGCGCCCGCACTGACAACAGACTTTGGCACTCACAGCTGTACATTTCATTCTATAATTACATCAAAATAAATATCTTTTTCTACCTAAGAATATTACTAAAGTGAAAGTGAGAAATGGAATGTTTATTATTATTTTTTAATGGACGGGATTCGGGATTGTCTCGTTTTTTCCTGCCACCACTTTAGAGTTTCCTCAAATTGTTCCCTGTCTTCCGGTGTAACTTGTATATCTGGAAGTTCCTTTTTCAACTCTACATCACTGTAATCGACGAATTTGGATTCCTCTTCTCTGATTTTAAACTGATTGTCACTAATAATTAAATCGGGATTCATGTCTTCTAATGGCATTTCAGATCCACCATTATAACTGTGTTGTATTTGATGATGCAATGATTCGGAATATTTAACTTCAAAATCACATTCGCTTACAGGTATATCAGATTCATTTAGGCAAGGTTGTTCTGGAATCACAGTAAATTGTTCAGCGGAATTAGGGAAATTGAAGTGGCTTTCTAGTAGATGGGTGTTTACGTCATCTTGACCAAGAAGATCTGATGATGGAGTCAGAGGCTGACCAACAATCTCGTCTTCTTCGTAAAGATAAGGAGTTGACACAAGTTGGAACGTTTCTTGAGTTGGTAATTCAACATATTGTTGTTGAGGCATATGATGAAGTGACCCATCTAGTTCGTCCTCGTCCATATCTTCATCATCAAGGGCTGGTGAATTCATAGAAAAATAACTTCTTTCCTGGCTATTATCTCTTGGTGAGGAAGATGCAGGTGAAGGAAAAGATTCCATAGATGGACGGTTTCCGTTTTCTTTATCAGCATGTCCGATATTTAACAGACTTTCTAAATTTCTAATGTACTCTACCGCCATTCGCAATGTTTCAACTTTGCTGAGTTTCTTGTTTGGGCCCCGGTTTGAATTAGCATTTTCAAATGCAGCAGCTACTTCTTCTGGAATATGTCGACGTAGAGCAGCAAAGCCATCGTTCACTTGTCGTACTCGGTTTCTTTCCCGCGCATTTCGTCTTGCGACCGCAAGAGGGGTCGGTGTCCGTGTATCTTCAGTACTGTTTTCGCGAAGCCTTGGTTTTTTAGGGATGCTATTCGTAACTGCCGAATCTGCTGCATGTATTAACGAACTCACTGAAACTGAAGCAGGAGATTGCACTTTTGTTTTTTTCCGCACAATTATGATTTCCCGACGAATGTTCTGATTAGTTTCATTGTTCGAAATGTTCACGGTATTATTCACGGATTCCTGCAGCACCTGCGGCGAATTGCGGAAAACAACGACGCCTATCGAACTCATTTCAATCCGATGATTTGCTATTTTAACATGTTATGTTTATTTTTTGATTAGTCGCGGGGTCGTAGTGATCAGGTCACGTAAGGATAACTGTTAAATTGTTGATTGGATGTTTAGATGGCGTCAGGGCGCCGGCCGCGGCAGGAATGGCGCGTGCCATGGCGGACGCACCTGGGGTGGCCCGCGGGTCGCGGGGGGATCGACAGGGGTACTTACTAGTTGCACACATGCTCTTTCAACCGGGCGGATTGGGGAAGCGTATAGTGATCATAATAACATACCCCACCACGACAGCCGCGCCGATACAATTTATAATTTCATGATTTCTCTCACGTAAGTCTCGTATCGAGAAACATTCACTTGTGTGTTTTGTATTTTATTATACACCTCACAGAAATTTTACTCATAGATAAAGATAACTCATAGTAAATAATAATTGCAAAATGCACTTTTACATCAACATAATTTTACATCATATATATTTAAATCAAAAGATAGTACAACGGCTTAATAACTCATAATTTAATTTTTAAGTGTAGAGAAAGTGTAGATATTTATTAAGATATAAGATACACTTCAAATGAATTTGAAAAGGAATATGCGAGAGATTATCTTTCAGGTGGTTATGACGATAACATTCTAAGTCTATTCTTTCTTACACAGAAATTAATTGGTTTATAATATTTTTATGAAATACATAATAAGCTTAATTAAATAGTAGGTATTTCTTAAAAATATATGATTCAGTTGATAAATTGGAAAGAATACGTCATATAGATGCTCTGATTGGTGTCAAAAAATCCAAAAATATTTGTTTTTCCATTAGGATTATTTTTCAGTATAGCACTCTCAATGCAAAATTGAAAAATAATATAATAAGAACAATTTTTCGTCTTCATTGAAAGTTTAAACATTTGGAAAAATATTTCTTTCGGCAGTTTGGATGGATTGCTTGAACGTTGATGAAAATACGCTCTGTAGTAGTGAAAGTGCTGAAAATTTGTCAATCCTGTTGGGTCCTAGGTAACTCAGTGCTTAGAGCAGTCGCCCGGATTGCGAAAGGTCATGGGTTCGAGTCTCATGTCAGAGTGCCAAGGACAAAGTGAATTTTTTCAGCATATTCACTAAGATTTTTTTTTCAGTATAGCTTTGCGAGTGCAAAATTAATCAAATATAATATTTATTTCAATCAAAGAGCGGGGTTTCAAAAAGTTGTTGGAATATTTATAACAGGTAAAAAATTTATACGAAATTAACACCTATGACTCTGTAAGCAAATTATTTCAGAAGCACAAGTTTCCAAAATTCTTTTGGGGTTTTATAGAGTTTTCTAATTTGATGACGTTATATCAGCTGATCCAGCCGACATGTCAATTTTTAAACATTATCTCTGTAATATATCTTTCTTTGTGTGAGTACTCGCCCACAACAGCTGCTTGCCTGCCCTTTTAACCATTGTTTTGGCACGCGCTACTATCCGTTTGTGTGTTATCACTACATAGACTATTGATATAAGTCGACTAAAAACTCTAATACAAAGTGCTAAAGTTTTCCAATGAGATAATATTTTTGGTGGGCGATATTAGTGTTATTGGGATTTGTATTAATCTAATTAATGTTATAATTGCGTGAGAGATTATCGTTGTTTAGTTTCAAATAAGTAAATAACTAAAGCTGTTTGTTACCTATACCTATGTATAATACTTATCACAACATAAATATTAATTAAAGCGTAGTTTTCGTTTGTTTAGAATATAGATTTCTATTTTTCTTTTGGTTTTTAGTAATCTTTTTACTTTCCTCATAGGTATTCTTTATTACAATTTACTAAAAGTTTTTTACGCCAAGTTTTTTGGTTAATTACGCCAGTTTTGTAGAAGTCTTTAATTCGTATAAATATGATATGTTCAATATAAAGCATATATTCAACAATCAAGGAAGGAATTTATCATGTTACCTTATAAGGTATTTGTTATATTTTTTACCTTACTTCAAAAAGGAGAAGTTCTCTTATCGTATTTTTTATATTACTTTATATTTCTGTAAGAATTCTGTTTTTTGACATGAAATCATAAAAACACATAAATACCTAGTTTTTAGTAAGATGAAAGGCACTATATTTCGATTTCCTATATAAAAACCTTTATGTTATGTATACTGGTAGGTATATAATAAAGTAGAAACAAGTTACCAACTATGGACTTATCTCCTGACTATAGAATGTTTGAACTCCGTCTTAAATTAGTCGTAATAAGCAAATAAAATAAATTTTCAATAGTTCTAGTATTTTGGAGATCCTAACAGATACGCTTAGCTTTTATTATTTTTTAAATTAAAAATAAATCTGGAAGAACTTTTTTGAATATTATTATATGAAAAATTTAACAAAAACATTTTTTGTGCTCCCTATGATTGATTGGTAGATGAGAATGGGGCGAAAACTATGTAGAATATAGAAGTTTCTTAAAAACTATTAAACTTTCGCGTTGCAATGCAGTAAAATGTAAAGTGTGGGTATAAAAGGGTAGCCGGTAGATGCATCATGTACAAATGTTACTCTGCTTTAAAACTCTTGTCTTAAACTTTACTTTTTTTAACCGCTTCCTTAGTTTTAATGTTGGTGATCAACCTAACTATGTGTAAAAAAAAACTTTAAAAAATTTTTCATTATGAATGTCCCAACAAATTATTTAGTATGTAAAATAGGTATTACTGACTCTTCATTGGTCAAATTTATAAAAAAAAACTACCTACCGAAAGAAACCTTATGCAATCTACACGATTGATGAAGACAAAAATAGAAATATAAACATTACTAGATCACTCGTGTATCCGTTTGTTAAAAAATTCTATTTGTGCAAAGTTTTCTTTACTGCTCACTATTGGCCGTTTCTTATTATTGTGGAAATTATAAGAATACTTTTTTTTTACAAAATACTTGGTAATACTTTAAGATACCTCGTATTAATAAAATAAAACTTTTTAAGTATTTTTCTATAGAATAAAACGTATTAAAAAGGTAAATTTAGTAAAACTTAGCTTTAAGTAAAATTAATATTTGCAGTTTTTTGTGGCTAGTTTTTAATTATTATATGTATTTTCAAATGAGTACTGGTAAAAAGATAGGTTAAGATACATTTAATTCCAGTAGAGTATTTTACCTGTGTCAAACTTCATATTCCTCGGTCCGTGTAACTTCCGTAAAAAAATACTTGCAAAGTTTTCCTTTTTTATTTTATAGGTGTTTATATGTATTTGTGGCAAAGGTAACGTTAAAAAGTATCACGCCTATCGTCTGTTCACTAGCAAAGTTTTCCAATAAATTTTGAAAACATCTTTGTCTTAAAGGCGTTTTCTGTGTGGCACAACTTTAATTCCAGTATATAAGTAGTATTCAACTGTATTTAAAGCGAAATATAAATTTGTAGGATTAAAAATTCTTAAGTCTGCTCCTAAACCCAAAAGTGCATCCTGTAATTTAAGATGTCGCGTTTTTTCAATCTGCTTTGTGAGGTGTACGTACTTTATACCATCTTGCGAACATGTGGCTGCGAACAGCGTCAGGTTATGCTGAGCTAATTTTAGTTAGCCCATATGGGAATTAGAAGGGGGAGCAAATCTGTGTCGATCGCACAGTGATTTAAGGGTGCATGTCAAAACATTGTAAGCCTTTCGCGGTGATGTTTATTTTGTTTTACGACTATTTTACTGTTGTGGTATATTTTTTATTGACTGCGATAATTTAACACTCAGTAAGTTGTAGAAATGGTGGAACAACAATAGAGAAATAATTTTAAGGCATTATTGACAACTTATAAATGGTGTAGAGTGACTTACCTAGAGAAAAAAATATGCAAATTTAATCAAGAAAATAAGATCAAAAGATAATGTATCTTCATAGAATTTGGGATACAATCCATCCATTTAAAAAATGCCACACAAACATGCATCAGATCATTTACATACACTTAATAAGTTTAGATGCCCATTATTTTGGATTTGTCTCGAAAGAAGTTGGCTAATAAAGCTAAAATTAATTATTTCTTAAAAGAAACAATTCATGCATCAACTATATGATATACCGAATAATGTTAAGATAGAAATGCTTTATCAACTATAAATCAACATTATTATATGTAGATTTAACTCTAAATTGGTCTACTTACCAATTTAGAATATTGAATATTCTTAATACGAAATGCTTAAAAAATCTGGGAAATCGATCAAATATGATAAATATGGAATAGTCTAAAATGGAATGCTTAATGATTTATAATAAGCCAAACATGAAAAACTAACAAATTTCCCCCTCTTAGGAATACCTAATTCAAGGAGCTTCAACATTTCATATTATCAGACAAATATAAAATGGCAATTGGTGCACCTGTTGGCTTAATAATTTCCTGGCAAATTTGCATTTTGCACGGAATAAATTAAAAAAATAATTAAAGATCAGATTGTTCTGTTGCAGATATGATATGCTTTGACATAATTATCAAGTGCAATATGAAATATGAAAAAAAACCCTCTTTTAGAAAAGAGGCATTATACCTATGAGTATATAAAAGTAGAGCCAATATTTATAAGAAACTGACGTGTATTGTTTACAAACAAAACTAGTCACCGTCTAGACGTCTTACAAATATGACTAACCTGTGCATTCAAACCGTCATCAAAACAGCTGTGTTCTGAAAAGAGCGACCTTCCTCCTTAGACCTATCTCAATGTAGGTTGCCTTGAAATAGTAAGCTCATTGAGCCTCGCCGACCCAGACAAGCATTAGAAAAGGACAAAAGGGAACCTTCAACTTGATAATGAAATAACTAAGGTCAGAGTGAAACGGAGCTAGGTTGCTTCTAGGTGACTACACTCTTAGGCATTTAAATGCAAAGGGACTGGATTGTTTAGAATTGTAAGCACTGGCTAGTTGCTATGCTACGAATACATTATAAGTTTGATCTACATTTTTTATATAAACAGGACTTTAATATAAATATGTTACT